AAGAAGGAGAGAAAAGGAGAGAAAAGAGGGAGAAAAGCAGAGATGGAGGGAGGAGAGGGAGAAAAGGATAGGAAGAGAGAGAGAGCAAAGAAAGAAGGAAGGGGAGAAAGAGAAAAGGAGAGAGGGAGAGAGAGAGAAGGAGGAAGAGAAGGGAAGAGGGAGAGAAAAAGAGAAGAAGGAGAAAAGCAGAGAAGGAGAAAAGGAGGGAGGGAGGGAGACAGAGAGAGAAAAGTAGAGAGGTGGGGGGAGGGAGGGAAGGGGGAGAGAGAGAGCTACAGATATCCACGTCTAGATCCAAGGCAGTAGTGTGGGTTCTCAGAAACGTAGCTTGCCCTAAGGCTCAGACTTGTTCTTCATCCTTTGGACTGCAGTGACCTGTCTGGCTGCTCCACTGCATACATCCCCAGGTACTGATGATAGGCCCAGTGATGTCATTTCCATACGAGTTTGGGTGGAGGTGGGGGTGGGTCTGAGCCCAGTGTTTTCAGCCAACACCCTGCCAGGGTGGTTTTTGGATACTGGTCTATCCAGGACTTTATTGGGGCCTTTGGAGCCTGAAGATGAAACAGCAGGAATAGGTCTATTGACCCCTGGATATTTTAACTTCCTCCCCTTGGTCTGGAGTCTTAAGAAGCTTAGGGAAAGGAACAGGGACATCATGGCCTTTGGGGGTATGCTGAAGCTTGTTTTTACCTTTTTCTTTCTTGTTTCAGAGGATGTTGTTTCTCTAAAATATCCCAGGGCCTCAATAGGTGCTACCTTATCTTTCTGCTGAGCTTTCTAGCCCACCTGGAGACTGCCAGAGTATCCCAGGGTATGTTGCCTGGTGTATAGCATTTAACACAGTGCCCAGCATATAGCAGGTGCTTAATACATGTTTATTGACTGAGTGTTGCAAATAATTCAGTCTCTGAGCTGGAAGATGGCACATGTCTGGGCAGGTGTGGCACACTAGAGCTCCCTGGCATCCTCTGACCTGTCCAGAGAAGGAGAATCTCCAAGTGGTCAGAGGCACCCCCAGGAAACCAATTCAACTCAAATCAATTCAATTCAACAAACATTTACTAAATGTTTCTGAGGTGCCAGGCACTGTGCTAACCACTGAGGGAACACAGACAAAAATAAAATCAACCTTTCCTTCTGCATTTCTAGCTGCAGCACCCAATACGTGCTCATGTCCATTCCACTATTCTTCCCCATCAAATTTTATTTTAGGTTCCCTCCTCACTATAGCATTCCCCATTAATGTAGCACAGTGCTGGGCACATAGAGGAATTTAATAAATGCGTTTTGTAAATGTTCAATGTGAAGGAACCTGCCCGCCTGCCAAGTTAAGTTGTGAAGAGCCGGGAGCCCTCCTTAAGTGGTCTGTTGATGCTAACTCGTTCCTGGGGATGCATGATTTATTCTCAATGTGGCATTATTGACCTGATTCTAGGGTCGTGTTTGCACAGAGGGATGCCAGGATCATTTCAGGGACCACAAACTGCCACTCTACCACTTCTCTCCTGCATCATCGTAACTTCCTGGCTAATGCTTTCAGAGCTGGGACAAGCACATCTGCCAGATCTAATTTAGACTTTTGTGTGTCTCCCAGAAAGGCTCCTCAGAGACAAAAGCATTCTTTATCAGGGCCCCAGGCCCCTCTGGGGATGGGACATGGCTTTTCTTGCAGTTCTGTGCCAGGGTGTTATCCAGATGGATTTACCTCCTGTCTGAAACAAGGTGTACAAGCATTTCAGAGGCCCTCATTACCTACAACCTTGTTTTTACTGCTGGCTTGTTTTGTCTAGACAGGACCAATTGCTGCAAGGAATCTGGCGGACGGGATCTCTGGAATACATTTAGTAGACCTGCTGTCTACAAAGCAAACCCAAATGCCAGCAGCAAGCTTAGCCAAACTTGTCTTGGGGGCCTTTTGGCTCTTCGTCTCAATTGTCAAACCTCTGGTTTTTTCCAGGAGTTCAGTGTGTGGAGGTGGGAGTTCCATTTCCCAGAAAAGTGGAATACATTTTCTTTGAGGAAGATGCCTTCCTCAAAGCTGATGGTTCTCCTCAGCACAGGAGGGGTCAGGTCAAATTACTGAATCACTTTCCTCCAGAGGACTCCAAACCAAGACTGCCCTGCTCATTAGGGACCCCAAGAACTTTCAGTGAAAAGTAAAGAAGTAGAATGTAAATTCGGGGCACTTCCCCCAAAAGGAAAAAGAGAAAGCAGTTTTCCTAGGAGTTGCTTGCAGCATGACATGGGGACACAAATGACCGTTGAGTTGATTTGGGGCAAGTCTCCCCTCTGCACCTCAGTTTCCTCTTCTGTAAATTGAAGGATTGGATGAAATTACCTTTGAGGTTTCTTTCAGCTCCCGTGAGCTTAAGAAGGGTGGAACCCTGGAGGCTCTAAGTTGAACACAGACACACACATACATATACACACAGACTATCTCACTTATTCCCCCCCGAACATCACCTTTCCCCACTGTCTAGCTGTTCTCTCAGGGGAGAATGATGCCCACTTGGCCTCCTGACCTTTCTTTTCCTTCTTTCCAGGCTCAGCTTGTGTCACCTCCTACATGAAGTCTTTCTTGATTTCTCCAGTGGTTGGTGCCTCTGCTGCCCCTTGAAATTTCTCTGTGTTCATTTTGTACATATTTATATTTAGTTGTATGTGCATTATTTTCTCACAGTATTATGTAAGCTCCTTGAGGGCAGGGACAGTTTCATTTTTAGTTTGAGTGCATGGTGCCTAGCACATAGTAGATGCTTAATGTGCATCAGTTGAAGAAGTCATCTTTCAAGCCTAGTCATCTTTGCCCTTAGTGTTCCTCATAGAGTCCTTAAGGGACGGGGTTCTTTGGTACTTGGGTCCTAACCACATTCTTCTCAAAGGCAGCTAGTTCATAGGATCTTATCTATAGAGAAAGGACTTTAGGGGCCCTCTACACCACCTCCCTTATTTTATGGATGAAGAAACCGGGGTCAGAAAAGTTATGTGATTTGCCTAAGGTCACACTGGTAGCAAGTAGCAGAGGAAGATTTGAACTGGGGTCCTATGACTCCAAGGCCACTGCTCTTTCCTCTGAATCACACTGCCTGTCTTAACTGAGGCAGGATTCAAGCCCCTGTCTTCCTGAGGGCAGCACTGCTCTGTCTGTTATGCCAACTTGCTGCCTCTAGGGTGGCAGTCTTTAAGCCTTGTGGCTCCTTGTTTTGAAATGAAAACATTCTGTCCCCACTTGCCATCTCTTATATTTCTATTTCCACTGAAGGAACCCAGGAAGAGCTGGTAGATGGTTTTTCAGGGCACCCTTGGGAGGAGCTGTAGCAGTAGGTGATTCTGTCACCTCTGGGAAGACCAGAAAACACACACACACATGGATGCTGGGATCACCAGTGAATCACTGAGTCCCAAGAGAGGTTCATCTAGCTAAGAGGAGAGATGCTTCCAAGTTGTGGGTTATCTGAATCTGACCCAGGAAATCTGTGGAGATCTTTAGCAGGGTCAGGCTAGATGCCAGAGTGTAAGCTGATTCAAGGACAAAGCAGGATGTAGGTATGTTATATTCTGTTTATCTCCCAGGTGAACTGGCCAATCAACAAGCATTTATTATGCACTTACTGTATGTATGGCACTGTGCTGTATATGGGGGAGTCACAGACAAAGATAAAATAATCTCTTCCTCCCTCAACAAGCTTCTATCCTGTCCGTTAGAGATTCTGTAGGTTAGATTTGGAACATTTACAGAGGCTTAAGTGGAAACATCAGGAACATGAGGTTTTCTGGTTATTCTTTACCCCTGAAGGCTAGAAACTTGGGGCAACAGATTCCAACCCCTCTGGGCCTCTGTTCCCTGATTCTAAGATGACTTCTAAGTCCCCTTCTGGCTCTAAATTCTACGGTACTGTAATTTCTCCTTTCCCAATTGCATCCCTGAGGATGTTGAGTTCTTCCTATAAAGAGGAGCCATGTTGTTTCCCTTATTTTTAAAATAGATTTCTTCATAAAGCATACCACAAAAAAAGCTTTACAGTGTGTGTACGGCAGGGGTAGGGTTTTGACAAAAAGAGAATGTTCTTTAAAACATTCTGGCTATGGGACTTCAGACAGACAAGTCATTACACTTCTCCCAGAGTCCCCAGGAAACTCTCTAAGACTGTAAATTGCCAATTTGTATTAGTGGAAGGATTTTTCTACCCTGGGAGTTTCCTACTAATGAAATTGCAGATTTGAATATTTTTATTATCATCTGCATTTCTTGGAGGATGAGATAGGAGACAAAGAGCATTTTATACCTATGAAGTTTCTCAGTAAGGAGAAAGAATGTTCTAAATAACCCCTATGAGGATGGATAGATGGATGTATGGATAGACAGATAGATGAGAAGATGAGTAGAAGGATACGTCATGTATATTCTGGTACAGCTGAACAGAAAGTGGAAAGAGCTGTTTGCATCCTTAGGGGCCCCAGGACCCTCTCCCACAATGCTAATCCTTCAGCTCAACCAGGGTCCATCCTCCTAGGAAAGTGGTATGTTCTAAAGGCTTCTCTCATTGGTCCCTGGCCACAGAGTTCCTGCACCTAGGGGAATGATTGACAGCTGTGAATCCCAAGCCTCTCTGAACACCCAGGCAGGAGGCCCTTCTGCTGAATACCACGACAGCTTGCATGGGTGAGGTGCAGAGAGTGCCTGGTTGTGTGCATACTGATGGGCTGCTGCATCTATTTTAAAAATCAGCTTTGGATGTGTTGACAGCCTTATTTCTCTGTCACATTCCTATAGTTGGGCCGCAGATTGGAATGGAAAGACTCGTGCCCAGGCAGGAAGGATCCCTTTGCGTCATGGATGCAGCAGACTTTGTTTAAAGCCTCTGGGTCAGTCCCATCTTGGGTCCTACCTTCTCCTGGTTTTCTCCTCTTGGTACCTTCTCCTCTTCTTTTGCTCAGATTTGCTTTCATCTTAGTCTCATTTTATTTTGTATGTCTCTTTTTTTTCTTCCTCTTAGAAATTCCGGGTAGATATGCCAGGATCTGGCAGTGCCTTCATCCCCACAATCAATGCCATTACCACCAGCCAGGATCTTCAGTGGATGGTGCAGCCCACAGTCATCACCTCCATGTCAAATCCATACACCCGCTCCCACCCCTACAGCCCACTGCCCGGCCTCGCCTCGGTCCCAGGGCACATGACTCTTGCAAGACCTGGGGTGATCAAAACCATCGGCACCACCGTGGGCAGGAGAAGGAGAGATGAGCAGGTAAAACATGGCAAGGGAGCTTGGGAAACCTTGTCAGGGTGGGCATTTTTCTACAGACATGGAGAAGATGGGGCTGGGAGACCTACAGCTGACTAGCAGAGTTCTTGACTAGTGTGGATAGAGCATTGGACTTGGAGTCAAGAAAATTTGGGTTCTAATCTACCTCAGCCACTTATTAGCTGTGAGACCCTGGGGAAGTCACTCCATTTCAAACCAGCTGTGGTTTCTTTGTCTGCAAAGTAGAGCAAAAATCACAGATTTGGATATCATTATTATTATTATTGTTGTTATTATTATTATCCCATATTCATTTCTTGGAGGATGAGACAGGAAAAGAGCAGTTTATACTTAAGACATTGTCAGCAGTGCACTTGATAGAATGGAAACAGCATCAGTTCTAGAGTCAGAGGACCTGGGTTCCAATTCTGTCTCTGATGCTTCCTGTTTGTCCTTGGGTAATCTCCCTGGGCCTTACGTTCCTCATTTATAAAATCAAGTGATTAGAGTAGATGGCCTCTGAGGTCATAAGACATAGACTTTGAGATGGAGGAGACTTCAGGGGCTCTGTAGACCAAACCATTAATTTTACAGTTGAGGAAACTGAGGTCTGAGGAAGTTAGTTGACTTGCCTGCAGTCACATAGATGGTCATTGTCAGAGATGGGATTTGACCCTCATCCTCTGGCTCTCTGGCCAGTGGGTATTGGTTCTGTGAGCCTGTGATCCGCCCCACAAAGGCAGGGAGCCGGTGGTCATGCAGTTGGAAGCCATCCCAACAGGCCCTCTTTCTTCTTGGGGTGGTGTGGCTTCAGCATCCCAGGAGGATGGCAGCAACCGTTAGAAGGATGATGTAAATCAGGGGCTCCATGTGACTCTGAGGGGGACCCGGGACTTGTTAAACGATTGGCACGTCCACCTATGGGAGCCTGTGGTTTTTAGAGGGGCTGGCTGGCCTTCCAGTTTGGTGTCTTGGTCAGACTGGACTCAGTGAGTATGCAGAGGGCAGAGCCCTACAGTGTCTCCACGCCCTCGAGGATCCAGGAAATGGTCACTGTTGAGCATTTATGGAGCTCTTAGACAATTTTCAAAGTGTGTGTCAGGCAGTTTTATGAGCTGCTTTCTAAGTATCCTTATGAAGGGGGTCAGCATCAAATTTTCCACATTCCAAAGGAAAAGGAGGCACAGGTTGAGGGTACGAGTTTAACACATTGTTTACCAGGGTCCAGACTTGGATCTGCTACGGTGACCAATGGCTGGAAGCAGCCTGAAAGGTCAGCCAGTCTCCATCCCTGTTATTTTATGTGTAAAGAAAGTAAGGCCTGGGGGCAGCTAGGTGGTGCAGTGGATAGAGCTCTGGCCTTGGAGTCAGGAGGACCTGAGTTCAAATCCAGTCTCAGACACTTACTAGCTGTGTGACCCTGGGTAAGCCACTTAACCCTGATTGCCTCACCAAAAAAGAAAAAAAAGAAACAAAAGAAAATGGGGCTCACTGAGGGGAAGTAGCTTGCCTGAGGAGACACAGATAGTGTCAGAGTACGGATTTGATCCTTCTCCCCCTCCCCATTTCTCTCCACTGCTGAATGTTCTAATAGTATGTGGAGTAAAATATGATGGAGAAGTGTGCTGGCTCTGGAGGTTGGAGTCAAATCTCATCTTTAAAATTTACTACTCTTTTGACCTTGAGTAAGTCACTTAACCTCATGGGGCCTCAGTTTCCCCATCTGTAAAATGATGCCTTTGGACTAGCTGGTCTTTGAGGTACCTTCCAGCTCTGAATATATGATGTTATGATGAAAGGAAAAAAATTTTTTTTCAATTCAATTCATTCCAGAGGATATATGGCATAGTGGATACTATTAGACATGGCGATAGGACTCAGTCCAATCTAGCTTCCCAGTCTAGCTGTATGTAACTCTGACCAACTCTTCTAATCTCTTTGATCCCCAGTTTCCTCATTTCTAAAAAGGGGCTAAAGGGGCAGCTAGGTGGCGCAGTGGATAGAGCACCTGGATTCAGGAGGACCTGAGTTCAAATCTGGCCTCAGACACGTAACACTTACTAGCTGTGTGACCCTGGCCAAGTCACTTAACCTCATTGCCTAGCCAGAAAAAAAATAATAATAAAATAAAAATAAAAAGGGGCTAAAATAGTGTCTACCTGACAGGGCTGTCATGAAGATCAAGTGATAAAATGTATGTATAAAGGAAGTAAGGAAACAAGCATTTATTAAGTGCCTATTGGGTGCTTGGCGTTTGGCTAAGTGCTTTACAAATATTATCTCTTTTGATTCTCACAACCACCCTGAGAGGTAGGTACTATTATTATGGTCATTTCATGATTGAGGAAACTGAGACAGGTAGAGGGTCAGTGACACACAGCTAGTATCAGAGGCCAGATTTGAACTCAGGTCTTTCTGACTCTAGGCCCCGTGCTCTATTCACTGTGCCAGCTAGCTGCCTCTAAAATGCTTTGGCAACTTTAAAGTACTGTATACCTATGAGGGAATATTATTGTTCAACAAATATTTTTTAAGCGCTGACAATGTGCAAGGAACTGTGCCAGATACTAGAGATATGAAGACAAAAATGAAATGGTTGCTGCCCTCAAGAAGCTTACATTCTTTGAGGGTAAGATAACATATTTTTGTTGTTTGTTTAGTCATTCAGACCATACTGTCCGTGGGGTTTTCTTGGCAAAGATACTGGAGTGGTTGGCCATTTCCTGCTCCAGTGGATTAAGGCAAACAGAGGTTAAGTGACTTGCCCAGGGTCACACAGTAAGTGTCTGAGGATGGATTTGTACTCAGGTCTTCTTGACTCTAGGCCCATCGCACTGTCTGCTGAGCCACATAATATAACACATACACAGATAAATAAATGCAAATGAATTAGAATAAGTGAGACAGAGCACCCACAACTAGGGTGGGATTCAGAAAGACTCCATGGAGGAGGTGACATCTGAGTTAAGCTCTGAAGATCCTGAAGAAAAAGATCCTGAAAGGTAGAGCTGAGGTGAGAGTTCCTTCCAGGCCAGCTTGTGTAAACGCTGCCCCAGGAGACAAAGGTTTGGAGGCCCTGCTCCCCCGAGGAGGCATCTTTCCCTTGAAGCCTGGCCACACGCCTCCCCAGCTTGGTTCCCTGTCACATTGCATTGACACTGCTAACACCAGGCCAGGGCAGTCATCCCCACCTGGCAGACTAGGGCACCTCCTTGAGATGCCCACTCATAGACATCTTTTGGAGGGGGGTCAACCCTAGGTCCTTCTTCACTCTGAGCAGCTTATGAACCTGTCCTTTCATTGAGAGCGGAATAGAGGTCACCTGGCCATGATCATCGATGCTTTCAGCATTATTTGGAATTACGGAGTTTGTTTCTCCTAAGAGACCAGTACTTCCCTGGGAGACCATATATGTATCCCAGCAGGGTTATAGGGAGGGCAGGTACGTGGTACAATGGATAGAGCACCAGGCCTGCAGTCAGGAAGATGAGTCTTCCTGAGTTCAAATCAGACCTCAGACACTTACTAGTTGTGTCAAGTCCCTTAATCCTGCTTACCTCGGTTTCCTCATCCATCAAATGAGCTGGAAAAGGAGATGGTAGACCACTTCAGTATCTTTGCAAAGTAAACTCCAAAAGTCACATTTGAAAATAGACATTACTAGGGTGATAATTAAGATGGTCAAGGACCTTGACAGCAGGCTACATGAGGATTGTTTGAAAAAAACTGGGGGGGGACACAAGAGGAGAAGAGAAGACTTGGCTGGGGAGTAGGGGAGGTGGTATATGATAGCTACCTTCAGTTATTCATAGTGCGGAAAGAAAGTAGACTTGTCAGCCCCCAGTGGGAAGAATTAGGAGCAAAGAGAGGAATTTCGTTCCAGTGAGGGAGGTATTAATTTAATGGAAGTAAATTAGAGCTAGCTATTAGAGGTATCCAAAAGTGTATGGGTGGCTTTGAGAAGTGGTGGATTCCCTCACTTTTGGAGGTAGTGAGTTCTCCCTCATCAGAGGTCTTAAAGTCTTGGATGAAAACTTGGGTAGGAATGTGGCAGCCAGGATTCCTGTTCAGATTGTACTTTGTGGCCCTGAGATCCTTTTGAGCTCAGACTTTTTGTATTTCTGTGATCTATTATAGTGATTAAACACAGTGCACGTCAGACAGGGCAGCTAATATTAATCAGGCTTCATTTGCTACATGCCCTGATGTTTCCAATGAGGTCTCTTGTAATTGAGCCACCCTTCAGGGTCTGCAATCTCCTATTAATGTGCTTTTCTCCATGGACCTCAAAAGATTTTACAGATGTTGGTGAGCCAAACTCTCCCAGGACATAAATGACCCCGGGGATGAGTCAGGCCCCCTGGGAGAGGCATTGACTCCCTAGGGCTGCAGGGGACCATGGCGGGAAGATGCTGAATAACATTCGCTTCCTCACTATGAGTGATGCCTAACTCACACTAACACCCTAATACAATCTGGCTGGAGACTTTTATTTGTTTGTGAGAGGAAGGGAAGGAACAAGAGGCATTTTCTGATGATCTGTCATAAGCTAGAAACCAGAACCATCTCTTATCAGGGAGAGTAGAAATATCACTGGACTGGTAGTCAGGAGACCTGAGTTCTGGTCTCAGTTCTGTCACTAACTGAGTGGGTGACATTGGACAAGCCTCTTCACTTATTTGAGCCTCAGTTTCCTCATCTGTGAAGTGAGGGGATTGTCTTCTTTCAGCAGGAATTTGTTAAATACTTGGTAGGCACCAGGTGCTGGAGATAGAAAGTGAAAAACAAAATATTCCCTGCCCTCAAGGAGCTTACATTCTATTTAGGGTTGTATTACGGGATCTGTAGGGTCCTTTACAGCTCTGTGAGAGGCCATGTAGCCCAAACTCCTTATTTTATGAATGAGAAAACTGAAGCTTAGAGAGGTTAAATGACTTACCCAAGTTCGCCCATATAGTGTGTAGTCTGAAGTGGCATTTGAACCCAGGTTCTCTGGCTCCAGA